TGAGTAGCTGGGACTACAGGCATACACTAGTATGCCCAGCTGATTTTTTTGTTGTTGTTGTAGAGATGGGGTCTTGCTATATTGTCCAGGTTGATCTCAAACTTGCCTCTGCAAGTGATCCTCCTGCCTTCGCCTACTAAAGTGCCAGGATTACAGGCACAAGGCACTGTGCCCAGCCCTGGTTTTTTCCATTATGGCTCCCCGACTCCTAGTCAAGCCAAAACAAAACAAAAGAGCAAATTAGAGACTTTTTTTTTTTAAATACAGACCATCATTGCTTAGAAAAGTATTAGCTATTTTGGGAATTTTTCATTAAAAATTAGTAACATTATGAGGTTTTTCTTGAATAATCAAACTTAAGATGTAAGCATTCACCAAAAACACCAAAAAAGAAAGAACCTAAGCTCACAGGCCTAAACCACCGGCAGATGTGATACACGAGTCTAGACTTTTCAGTTCTTTGAATTTTCATAGTGCCTTTAGAATGGGAATAGCCACATTGCTGCTATTAAGATAATTTGAGAAATCATAAATTTTATAAATACTCAATATGTTGACTGTGACGATCTTGAGATTGGGAAGCTTATACAAGCAGTAAAGGCTGATGCTGTATGCTGGAATTCTACATGTCAGTATGAGTGTGATAAATGAATTCCTGAAGAAAAAGAGTTCCTTCCTGCACTTCTTCTATCGTTTCCACAGGGGGCTGTGAATCATCCCGGGAGTATAACACTCAAACACATAAAATGAGTTTTTGTTTTCACAATTATCCAGAATCAATCATATTCTTGATCCATGGCCTTTTTTATAAGGACATAGACTTGCAAAGGGTTTTTGGCTAACATTTCTTTTCCTCTTCAATCTTTTGGAGAGTGTGTACATAACAGACACTGAACACTTTCCTGCCTCATACAAAAATTGAAAAGGAAGCAGGTAATTTCAAATCTAGCAAGATACTTCCTGGCACACTGGACTGGCATCACAAAACAAAGACTTAATTTGAGGAGCTTATATCATGTCTCTCTATTCATACAATAATAATGTCATCTGACTGACAGTATGAGACCATCATAAGACTAACATGGTTGAACTTTTTATAAAAAAATCATTAGAACTGTATTTTGGAGATAAGCAGATTAAAATATTTTCTGTAAGAAGTTGCAACTGACTGAAGCTCTCATGTTATAAACTTGGTTGAAATGGGAGGGACTTCAAATCTAATTCACCAAAAAATATCCCATTTGATTAATTTAA